CAGAGAAAGTAGAAGACAAAAATAGAACAAAGAACAAGGGCAACAAGCTACAGTAACTGTATGAAGTATGGCAGACATTAATTCAATTATATCAAGAATCACTTTAAATGTGAATGGTCTAAATACACAAATGGAAAGACAGATTGTTAGAAGGGAGAGATTTTGATTCTTAATCAAAAACCAAGAATCAACTACATACTATCTACAATAAACCCACTTTAAATATAAAGACGCATGTAGATTAAAAGTAAAGGAATTGGAGAAAGATATCAGGCTAACACGAATCAAAAGAAAGTGGGAGTAGTTCTATCAATTTCAGACAGAGCTGACTTCAGAGCAAGGAAAATCAGCAAAGATACAGGGGCATTACATGATGATAAGGAGTCAATTTTCCAAGAAAACATATCCTTGTTTTTTGGGGTGCAAATATGGCTCATGACAGTCTCAACCTCCAAGGCTCAAACGATCCTCCTGCCTAAGCTTCCTTGTAGCTGAGACTATAGGAACACACCACCATGCTACTTTTGTAATTTTTTGTAGAGACGAGGTCTCACCATGTTGCCTAGGTTGGAAAACATTCTTTAATGAACAACGGAGCATCAAAAAATACATGAGGCAAAAACTGACAGAACTGCAAAGAGAAATAGATGAATCCTAATAATGTCCATCCTAAAGGAATCACAGAACTGTGTTACTTCTGTGATTCCTTTAGGGTGGACATTATTATAGGTTAGAGACATCAACACTCCTCTCAGACAGATCTCGTAAGAGGAACATCAGTAAGGACCCAGTTGACAGCAACACGACCATCAACCAACTGGTTATAAAGAACACTGACCATTTACGCTTTAGGTGATTATGAATATGGCTGGGTTTCTATCTACCATCTTGCATCCTGTTTTCTATTTATTTTGCCTGTTCCTTGTTCCCCTGTCCCTTTTTCTGCCTTCTTTTAGAATGCAACCTTAAAACTTATTAATAGAAAGTTTTGGCCAGGCATGGTGGCTGTCACCTGTAATCTCAGCACTTAGGGAAGCTGAGGCAGGCAGATCACGACGTCAGGAGTTTGAGACCATCCTGGCCATAGTGAAACCCTGTCTCTACTAAAAATACAAAAATTAGCCAGGTGTGGTAGCGGGTGCCTATAGTCCCAGCTACTTGGGAGGCTGAGACAGGAGAATCACTTGAACCCGGGAGGAGGAGGATGTGGTGAGCGAGATTGCACCATTGCACTCCAGCCTGAGTGACAAGAGAAATTCTGTCTCAAAAATAAGTTTTAAGATTGCATTTTTATCCTCTTTGTTGGCCTAATAGCTGTAATTGTGTTACTTCTGTGATTCCTTTAGGGTGGATTTTCAGTGCACATCTTTAACTTAAACCAATCCACCTTCATATACAACACGATTTCAAATATGTAAGAACCACATAACTACATATTTCCATTTCTCCCCTCTCCACCTTTGGGCTATTACTATGTATTTTACTTCTACATGTTGAAAACCATGATACATTATTATTACTTTTGCTTTAAATAGTCAATTAGGTTTTAAAGACTTCTGAATAAAAGGATATATGAAATCCTTTATGTATATAACCTACCTAGTTATCATTTCTAGTGTTATTTCTCTGCATAGAAGCAGGTTTCCATCTGTTACCATCTTCTGCTTGAAGAATGTCTTTAACAACTCTTATAAGGCTGATTACATTCTTTCAGGTTTTACATCTGGAAAACTCTCCATTTTTAATCAAAGAATTCCAGGTTGGTAATGTCTCTTTCCATTTCTCCCCTCTCCGCCTTTGGGCTATTATTTATTTAATAATATTTGGAAATAGTTTAAATATAAACACTTTAAAAATGGTGTTTGTCTCTTGCCTTGCATTATTTCCAACAAGAAAGCTGCTGTCTTTACCTTTCTTCCTCTGTACCTAAGCTGTGTTCTCTTTCTCTCTCTTCCTCACTTCTAAAATTTCCTCTTATATTGCCAGATGAAATTTGATTGATACAGTTCATTGCATTTCTTGGGTCTCACTAGTTGTCATCAATTCAGCTATTATTTCTTCAAATATTTTTTTACACCTTCTTTCTCCAGGGACTCCAGTAACATACATATTTGGCTCCCAAAGTTGTCCCATAGTTCTCTGAAGCTCAATTTCTCCGACCATCTCTTCTTCGGCAGTCTTTTTCCTGTTTAAGTTGCTGTCTTCAAATTCTCTTATCTTCTTCTGAGATGTCCAATCTGCTGTTAACTGCATCCAGTGTTTTTCATCAGATATTATAGTTTCCATCTCTAGAGGTTCAATTTGTTCTGTATCTTCCATCCCTCTACTTAGTATGTTTTTCTCTCTAGCTTTTTGAACATATGGAATACAGTCATAATACCTGCTTTAATGTTGTCTACTGATTCCTGGGTCAGTTTTGATGGACTTATTTTTCCCTTCATTATGAGCTTATTTTCATGCTTCTTTGCATGCCTAGTGATTTGTTAGATACCAAGTACTGTATATTTTACTTTATCGGATATATTTCTTGTATTCCTTTATTCTTGAGCTATGTTCTGGAACACAATTAAATTACCTGGAAACAGATGTGTTCGTTTGGTCTTTTTTTTAAGCTTTGTGAGTTGGGACCAGGGGTAGTTTTTATATAGAATTAATTTTTCTACCATTAGAGCATCTTAGTTTTCTTCCAATGCCACTTAGGTTACAAGATTTTCCACTGTGGCTATTGAAAACAGGCACTATTTGCAGCTCTAAACACTGTTCCCTCTTATTCTTTTGGGTGAGTTTCCTCACAGGCATGCACTGTGTATAACTGAGTATCTGATGGAAACTCTCTACAGATCTTAGTTCTCCTGCTGTGCAGCCCTCCCGTCAAAGGCATTCTCCCCTGTGAACTCTAACCACCTTGACTGCCCAACTGCACGTCAGCTCCAGGAAACCGCCAGGTCCTGATGGGGTAACCCTTCCTGGAGCCATGGACTTTTTCCAGATATTAAGTACAGATAATTTTGTTTCCCCTCTCCAGAGGATGATTGTCCTTTGTTGCTTAAAGTTCATTGTCTCGATATTTGTTAGGTATTTAAAAAAAGGAAGTTAAACAAGACAGTTAACTTCTAGGAAATAACTACCTTACTCTAGCAAAATACCACAGGAAAAAAAAGAGCCCCACCCTCACCGAATATAACAGGCTGAGAACGTTCACCATCCAGCCTAAGACAGCCTTCTCCCTATGTCGTGGTGTCATCAGGGTGCTCCTCCTAATTCCAGCAGAAAGGCAGCAGCGGAGGTCTCCAGAAGAGCCACAGTAGGAAACCTGGATCTCCATCCTTACCAGGCAGTAATGAGGCTGTGCCCCATTGCACACCGGCACCATCAGAGGAAGCATGCTGAGAGATGTAAATAACTCCCAGAGATTCATTGCATAACAGTGAAGATGTCCAGGATACAGCCAAAGTCACTCATCATAACAAGAACCAGGAAATTGTAAACTTGAATGAGAAAAAACATCAAGGGATGTCAACACTAAGATGACACAGACATATGACAACAATTTTTTTTTTTTTTTTTTTTTTTTGAGACAAGTTCTCACTCTGCTGCCCAGGCTAGAGTGGTGTGAACAAAACTCACTGCAACTTCAACCTCCTGTGATCAAATGATCCTCCCACTTCAGCCTCCTATGTAGCTGGGACTACAGGCACCATGCCTAGCTAGCTAACTTTTAAATTTACTTTTTATTTTTTGTAGAGATGAGGTCTCACTTTGTTGCCCAGGCTGGTCTCAACTCTTGAACTGAAGTAGTTCTCCTGCCTCAGCCTTGCAAAGTGCTGGATTACAGGCATGAGCCACCACACCCAACTGATGAGAAGGATTTTAAAGCAGCCATCATAAAAATGCTTCAGTGAGCAATTACAAACACTTTTGAAGCAATCAAAAAAAAAAAAAAAAAAAGTCTCAGCAAATAGAAAACCTCAGCAAAGAAACAGGAGATATAAAAAAGAAATCCAATGGAAATTTTAATTAAAATACACGATGATCGCCACAGTTAAAAGTACTGCATGGATGGTTCACGAGCAGAATGGAAAGGAAAGGGAAAATAACCAGTTATCCTGAAGCTAAGACAACAGAAATGACCTAAACTGAGCAACAGAGAGAAAACAGACTGGAAAAAAAATAATAACACAGAGCCTCAGAGACTCATTAGATGATAATAAAAGATTTAACATTTAGAAAAAAATAAAGAGAGCTTCAGGGACTCACGGGACAATAATTAAAGGTTTAACATTTGTGTCATCAGTGTCCCAGAAAGAGGATGTAAGTGGGACAGAAAAAGTATCCAAAGAAATAAAATATATACATACACATACATATACACACACACACACACACACACACACACACACACATATATATATATATATATATATATATACTTATATATATATGTTTCCCAGAATGGGTAAAAACTTTTGTAAAGCATGTTTCTCATAGGGGGCTTATATCAAGAAACTGTAAGGAACTCAATAATAACAAAAAATAACTTTTTAAATGGGCAAAGGCTCTGAATAGACATTTCTCCAAAAAACACATACAAATGGCCAATAAGCACATGAAAAAATGTTCAACATCATCAGCCATCAGGGAAACACAAGTCAAAATTACAATGGTGTACAATTAATACACCATTTAACATTTCCAACAGAAGCCTACAGGCTTCCATTTCCACTGTGGAAAACAGTTTGGCAGTTCCTCAAGGTAGTCAAGTTTCTTAACTGCTCTGTAAAATGAAGTTAATCACATTCACTTTGGACGAATGAGTTAATATATATATTAGCTACAATTATTATAGCAATTATTATTGTGCATATTACTGATTGGGTCAGATTATTAGCCCTGTCTCCCTAACTCATTTGCTACTTTGGATGAATATTTAAGGTAGTCTTGAACTGAGATATACATGTAAAGATCCTATCACACTGGCATGTACCATGTGCTCAATAAACGAAAGCTGTAATTATTTATTTCTCAACAGTTTAAACTTTCCTCAAAACAAACAAAAAACAAGGCAACACCCCAAGCTGTGAGGAGCTGAGTCTCTCCTAGGTATGGGGCAGCACAGGCACTGGCTGCACAAAGCCAGAAAGGTTACATGGCACCTCTCTTTAAATTAGACCACACAGAGCCTTTAATTCCCTGCGCAGTCTTCACATCTTGCCAGTCCAGTTTGATGTCTGGAACTTCATCTTCTGGTTCTGGATCCTTACTCAGTGCCCCCCGCGGGGAGGCAACCACAATGGGCAGAGGACCACATTCCTCCCGGATTTCCACAACATGGAGGCCCTTCTTATCAGCCAGCTGTTGATGGGTTTCCTAGGCCAGACCAAATTGAGAACAGGTTAGGTCTGAAGTACATTTGCAGCATAAAAAGCAGAACTTCCACAGGGAGAAGGAAGCCAGCAGTACAGCCTAGGGGAATTCAAAGACCATTTCAGTGGATTTGGGTTAATGTGTTTTGTGGCTAAACTTTGGTAACCTGTCATGGGTGGTGCCATTTCAGCCTCATCTGCCTCATCTGCCCACCCCAAACCGGGACAAAGGAAGGCCCTTGGCCACTGGTCCCTTGGCTTCTAAACCCTCCTGATTATGCACTACGCTATGCCAAACACTGAACTTGAATCTCACCAATCCCCTAGATCTAACTACCAATTTACAGTAAATACACAGGAGAGAAGACATTAAGGACCCCAGAGGTGTTTTAGTCAGCAATAGACCGGGAAGCACTATGAAACAAACAAGCTGGATTCCTCAGCAAAAAAATCATAAGGGGCAGGGGAAGACGAGGGGAAACCTATTGAAAAGGCATAGCAAAAACATACAACACATTGACCTATTCTGCAGCCTGATTCAAACACTTTGTGTAAAAAGCATTTTTTAAATCTAACAAATGGAATTTGTTCGTTTAGACAAATGTTCATTAGTCCAAATGTTCATTTGTATGAACACTGTTCCAATGTTCATTTGTATGAACATTGATAGGACATTTAATGATACAAGTTACTGTTAAATTTTTAGGTATGATAATAGTATTATAGGGTATTTTTTAATGCTTATCCTTTAGAAAATATATACTAAAATATTTAGGGGTAAAATAAAATGTCTGAGATTTGGCTCAAAATAACTGGGGGTGGTACTGAGAAGCAACTGGTCATCAGCTAGGTGACAGGGCCATGGGGATTCACTGTAGAGGGAGGCCACAGAGATCTGGAAGCAGGCAGATTAGTTCAGTAGACATTATTCACGGTACAATGACATACCTGATATGTCAATCCCATGATCCCAGGCCTTATGGCTGCCTTGCACTATTCTAATTCTATGTATGTTTTAAATTAGAAAAGAGATGAGCCGTTTCATAAACAAAATAAAATAATTTATATTGGTGTATCTTTCAATCAAAGGCATATCACCTAAACTGGTAACATCTTTTTCTTTTTGTGTAGCATATTAAATAATGTAACCCGGCCGGGCGCGGTGGCTCAAGCCTGTAATCCCAGCACTTTGGGAGGCAGAGGCGGGTGGATCACGAGGTCGAGAGATCGAGACCGTCCTGGTCAACATAGTGAAACCCCATCTCTACTAAAAATACTAAAAAAAAATTAGCTGGGCATGGTGGTGCGTGCCTGTAATCCCAGCTACTCAGGAGGCTGAGGCAGGAGAATTGCCTGAACCCAGGAGGCGGAGGTTGCGGTGAGCCGAGATCGCGCCATTGCACTCCAGCCTGGGTAACAAGAGGGAAACTCTGTCTCAAAAAAAAAAAAAAAAAAAAAAAAAAAAAAAAAATAATGTAACCTTTTATAGCTGATAGCATTTTAGGAGAGATGATATATGGTAATCATGTCAGAAGGTTTAAAAAACTAACAGAAAACAAAAATATCACATAAAAGAACAAGTCTACTGGATCATAAATAAACCTATCTAAAACCAACATCTTAATTAAACCTCTAATGTTTCAACTTAGAAGTGCTGTGAAAGGTGTTTTAGGCAGTACCAACAAACACGAAAAGCTTCAAAAACATCTTTTACCTAAAGCCTTCTTTTTCTTCTAATTTTCCTAGAGATGTGGAAAATTACTCCCTGGATCACTTTAACTAAAACCCACCACTGTACTCTTGAAGTGTCAGGAAGCCTGCCAAAGTCCTCACCTAACAGAGTTCAGCAAATGAAACCTACCGAACCGAATCTGCTCATCCATCTATGCTAAGGTCTACCCATCCTTTCAAGAGACAGGCCAGCCCTACTGGGCAAGCAGGATGGGTACCCAAGAATGGGGGACCAGTGCAGTCACCGTCCTCTCCTCCATGGTGGGTGACTGGAAGCTGGGCCCACCTATGAGGAATAGTAACCTGGCAAGTTCATAGTTTCTTACCCACCCAGGCATCAGTCCGAACTACCTACGCAGGTAACGGGAAACTGACTGTGCTTGCCCTGAATGCAGAGTGCTTCACCCTAGCCCCGGCTGAAAGGACTAAATTAGGAAATGGAGTCCGGGTGCGGTGGCTCAAGCCTATAATCCCAGCACTTTGGAAGGCCAAGGCAGGTGGATCACGAGGGCGACAGATTGAGACCATCCTGGTCAACATGGTGAAACCCCGTCTCTACTAAAAATACAAAAAATTAGCTGGGCATGGTGGCGTGTGCCTGTAATCCCAGCTACTCAGGGGGCTGAGGCAGAAGAATTGCCTGAACCCAGGAGGCGGAGGTTGCGGTGAGCCGAGATCGCGCCATTGCACTCCAGCCTGGGTAACAAGAGGGAAACTCTGTCTCAAAAAAAAAAAAGGAAATGGATGTTCTCTTTTTATTTTACTTTTCCATACTTTCAGAGCTTTAGAACAGCATGTGTTATTTTCATAATAACATGTAGATTGTAATTCCTGGCTTGAAATAACGCTACTTAGAAAAATCCATGAAGTACTTTTTAAAAGGTAATTTTAATGAACTTTTCAGTGAATTTAACTAAACGGATGCAGTCACAGACAGCAAAGAATGCCCAATTCCTCAGGTGCCCACAGGAAAGATTCTCCAGAAGGCCCCAGGGCATGGTAGTCCCAACACACACAACTGAAATACAAACTAAAACTTTTGTTTCAGACCCCAGGAGAAGGTTACCTGTCTGGAGAGCCCATGGAAGAGTCCCCGGGTGAGGTTGAGCATATTGAGGGACCCAGAGACCTTGGCATACATGTCTTTGATGCCAATGAGCCGGCAGATGGTAATGATGGCCCTGTGGCAGTGGAGGCCATAACCTAGAAATAGAGAAACCAGGTGAAACACAGCCCACTTGCCTGAAGTGGGCGGAGTCACCCTGCTGACTTTCACATGGCTTCAGGCTCAGGGCTTCAGGAAACTGATTCATATTCTGGTATCACCACTTCCTAGTGAGTCGACCCTTGACAACTTAACTTCTAAGATGACACTTACTTAAACAGGATACTACAAGGATTAAAAAGATGACATCTATAAATATCTTGAACACAGAGGGTAAAAAAACAGGACTGTTACTAACAAAGATGCATGAAAATTCTTGGCACCCCAGACTCATGTTAACTAAGGATGGAGGGACACATCTCTTCTCAGCCTCCTTCACTGTTCTGTTGCCCTGAGCAGAGGGTCCACTTCCTCCTCCTAGAGAAGCTCTTCTTTTCTTATGGTAACATATCCTTTCCCAGATTTCCTTCTAGCTACTGGCCTGTCCTTCCCTCCTTGCTGGCCTCTAAATCTTTGGGGGTCTCCCCTCCAGCCACTTGCCCTACCCCCATTTCCACCTGTAATCCCTTCTCCAGAGAGCTTTAAAAACACAAGCCAAACATGTTGCTCCCCATGTAAAGAGACCCCCCTACCCCGCTCTGTTCTCGAGATTAAAATAAAGAATGCCATGGCCTATAGAGCCCTCTGTGCCTGAGTCCTGCCCACCTCTGACCTCATCTAGAGACACACCACCTCCTGCTAGCGTCCCTGCCTTGAGGACTGCACTTGGGATTCCCTCTGCCTGGAATGTCCTCCCAGCTTTGCCCCCTTGGCTCCTTCTCACCTTCAAGGTCCCACTCAAATTGCTTCTCCTCAGACACGCCTTCTGTGACCATGCTGCTCAAGGTGGCATCCTTCCTTCCACCTTCCTCCCTCCTACTCTAATACAGTACCCTGATTAGGGTACTCAAAGAAACCTGTTTATCCAATGTTTCCCCCCAGTAGAAGATGACTTCCATAAGGGCCAGGATATTGTTTGTTTACGACAGTGTCCCCAGAGCCTATAGCAGTACCTGGCAAATGCAGGTGGAGTGAGGGAACGTGAAGGGGCCCAAGTGTGGCCTTTAACTTTCTTATTTGCCAGACATGAAACTAAGCACACACCTCTTCTGCTCCAAGGTAGAAGATCTACTCTAGAAGTTGGACATTACTGTCTTTCTCATTTGACTTTTTATGGTCAAGAACTATTCCTTCTACTTGAGAGGGCCAATGAACTGTGGCCTCCATAATTATGCTAAAGCATGCAAGAACTTAAGAGGATAGCTAAAGACAGGACACAATGGAGTCCTTTGTTCTTCCATGTGGAGTTATTTACACACAGAATATGTGCCCATGTGTGAACACAATGTACCCACGTCTGGATGAGCACAAGTGCACACACACCTAGAGGGAGATACACATGGAAGGGGGTATCATGCAGATTCCAGAAGGAGCTGAGAGGCAGCCTCTACCCTGCCACTGCTCTCTGGATGACCCAGACAAGAAGGCTCCTCCCTACAATACCTACTTAGCAGTGCTGCTGGTGAGCATCGAGGTGTGTAATACACAGTACCTGGACCAGCACAGACAAAGCACAAATGCTGGCCACTGTGTCACACATACACAAACACCCACGTGACAGTGGTCGTAGTCTTATGGTAATGATTTGACTACCTTCCAGGCAGAGACTATGTCAAAAAAACACTTGTTTAATGAAACTTAATGTGTATATTTAAGTGGCAAAGTTTTGCAGTGCTGTGTGTGGAACTGAATACTGTCCTATTGCCAAGGTAGACGTGTTCCATGGTTAAGTAAGTTTGGAAACACACTTTCCATTTCCCTTGGGAGATTCATATTGCATGGCAGTGCATTAAAGACTGCAACGTTCACAAAGATGCACAAACACTTTTGGTGCCTTTCCTTAATCCTGTTCTGACATTTGGCGTCCTTTCTGGAGTAACACCTATTCTATCTCCCACAGAACTAGCAACACATAGGAACATCATTTAGGAAATGCCTATTTGTACATGTACGTACAGAATGTCTATAAATGTACACGTATTTAGGAAATGTCTAAAAGTACTATAGACTGTTTTAGTTTCAAAATCAGAATATTTAACCCCAATAAACAGGTAATGGTCTAGCTAATACAATACAGCTTTGATTAAAAGACAGGAAAGATTTTAAAAGGTAGCTTCTTCAATTAAATTAAAATTGAAGCAGTCATTCAAAAATCATCCAGATATAAAAATGTATCTAAACAACATTGCCCAACATAAATATAATGCAAGCCACAAGCAGATGCATAGACATAATTTTAAACATTCTCATAGATGCATTTTCTAAAGTTTTTTAAAAGTTTATTTAGTAATGTGTTTTATTAACCCAATATGTCCAAACATTATCATTTAAAAATGTTATCAATACAATAACATTTTTGAAATATTTCATATTCTTTTTTTGTACTAGGTCTTTGCATTCTGGTGCGTATTTGACAATTAGAGCACATCTCAATAGCCCCATGTGAAGTGCTCCCTAGCCAGGCCGGCTAGTGGCTACTGTGTGGGACAGCACAGATCTAAACCTTGAAGTCCACTCAACACCTTTTCTAATGACAAAATATATGGTTTTTATCCAGCATTTAAATGGTTAATTATGGTTTTAAAGCAGAAGGCAACTTCTGGTGCATTAACACAACTGATTCTGTATTTGAGGGCTATTTATTTCCAAGCCATAGCTCTAGCAAAGTTGTATTAGAAGCTTTGATAAGAAATTTTAAATATGATGTTTTATCTCTTCTGACTCAAAACTTTTTGAGATTTATATACCAAAAGTTACATAAAATCATTCCTTATTGTAGAACTACAGGTGAAATGCAAATCAGAATGTTCAAGAATCCTACACTCAGAGACCACTAGGCATGCCTGCCCTAGCACATGACCCTAAACTCTGCCTTCCTGCCTTCTTTTTTTTTTTTGAGACGGAGTTTCGCTCTTGTTACCCAGGCTGGAGTGCAATGGCACGATCTCGGCTCACTGCAACCTCTGCCTCCTGGGTTCAAGCAATTCTCCTGCCTCAGCCTCCTGAGTAGCTGGGATTACAGGCACGTGCCAACATGCCCAGCTAATGTTTTGTATTTTTAGTAGAGACGGGGTTTCACCATGTTGACCAGGATGGTCTCGATCTCTCGACCTTGTGATCCACCCGCCTCGGCCTCCCAAAGTGCTGGGATTATAGGCTTGAGCCACCGCGCCCGGCCTCTTCCTGCCTTCTTGTCCATAAAACAGGAAAGTCCATCTCTGCATCATCCCTAGTGCCTAGAGTAGCACCCAGCTCACAGAAGACATTCAATCAGAACTTGATGTGCAGTAAACACCTGCACCTGAATAAGTTAGAACAGAAATGTCTAAAAGCAACAACGAATTTCCTGTGAGGAACTAATATTCCCACTCCTCCAAACCCTACTCCACTCAGTTGCTATTTCCCATTTCCAATGTGCTCTCCCCACCATCAAGTATTCCTGGAACAAGCCTGTGCTCACGGGAGCCTGTGTGCCTTGACTATTCTTTATTTCTCTGAGAGCCTCATCATTCTTAAATCTAATATGAGCTCTTAAATCAAGATGAATTCAACTAAAGATGAGCAAAAACAGAGGAGAGGACAGAACTGTTAAACAATTTCTCTGCTTTATCATCAACAAGTGGTAAGAGTTTTAAAGTTACCTTTGGGTTGTTTCTTCATCTTGATATGTGTCCTTTTATATCTTAATGAAATATCATGGAATACTGGAAGGTAAAAACATAAACACAGAAGGTTTAGGTGTGTGGCTTTAATGCCTTTGCAAATATTGCAAAGCAATGTATACTAGCCTCAACCGCCAGTGCACATTCACCAAGGATAAATGATAAGCTCTAAATTCATTCACTTTACTAACCTTCTTAGGAGATTGTTTTCATAATTCATGTGTTTGTAAGAATGTAATAAGAGAGAGCACAAAGATAACTATAGAGATACATTGCCACACATACTTTAACAAATGTAATCCTGCAAATTAAAAAAAAAATAGATTAACACTCACTTGTATGGTCTTCATATCGTTCTATATAATGCAAATAGTGAACTGCTCTGTTCTTTGCCTGAAAGAAGGAAAATGTTTTTCTTAAATGTGTTGAAATTTACATCTTTTCAAGGATTCCAAAAATACTTTTAATAAAATGTTTCATTATTAAAAATTCATTTATGCAAAAAGGTTAGTATATACTTCTAAAATATAAGGACTTATTTTTTTAAACTCTTAACCACAATATCACTATCATGCCTAAAAAAAAGTAACAATAATTCCTGGCCAAGCGTGGTGGCTTACGTATGTAATCCCAGCACTTTGGGAGGCTCAGGTAGGCAGATCACTTGAGGTTAGGAGTTCAAGACCAGCCTGACCAACATTGAAAATCCCCATCTCTACCAAAAATACAAAAATTAGCCAGGCATGGTGGGGGGCACCTGTAATCCCAGCTACTTGGGAGGTGGAGACAGGAGAATTACTTGAACCCAGGGGACAGAGGTTGCGGTGAGTCAAGATCATGCCATTGCACTCCAGCCTGGAAAACAAGAGTGAGATACTATTTCAAAAAAAAAAAAAAAAAAAAAAAATTAACAATAATTCCTTAGTATCTTCAAACACTCTGTCAGTGTTGAAACTTCCACAGCTGTCTCCTAACTTGGCTAGGCAATTATAAATCTGATAAAAAATGGTGTGAAGGAATGTAAGTACTTCTGAAACTGATTTTTATGAGCTAATTAAATCTTGACAGCAAGCCTCCTGGGAACGTTCTGGGACAAATTATCTTTTTGTGGTTCCCACTGTGTCTACCATATAGCTTACTTATCTTTTACTGAGTGTCAACCAAGAAAAGAATGTACATACCTTCCTCAAAGCATCGAACCGGTCAGCGGCTTTCCCAAGAGCAAAACCTTAAAAAAAAAAAAAAAAAAAGCAAAACTAAGAAAAGTGACAAACATTTGGCCCATGTGGCTTTTGCCACATCTCAAGTTTCACCTCCTACAATATTTTCTAGCACTTCATTTTTCCACCACCCACAAAAGACTTGCTATACAAAACCAATAACCGGCTGGGTGTGGTGATTCACACTCGTAATCTCAGCACTTCAGGAGGTTAAAGTGGGAGGATCACTTGGGTCCAGGAGTTTAAGACCAGCCTGAGCAATATAGCAAGAGTCTCTACTAAAAATAAAATTTAAAAAATTTGCCTAGCATGGTGGTGCCTGACTGTGGTCCCAACTACTTGGGAGGCTGAGGTGGGAGGATTACTTGAGTTTGGGAGTTTGAGGGTACAGAGCTATGACTATACTCCAGCAAGCAGCCTGGGCAATAGAGCAAGACCCTGTATCAAAACCAAAAAAAAAAAAAAAAAAAAAAAAAGTAACAAAACATGAAGCTACAGAGATCTGTTTTTAATTATTCTGGAAATAATAAATTTAAACATATTTATAAAAGCCAAGGTTAGATGTGGCCTTTTAAAAATAGCTAGATAAAATACACTTAACTTTTAAAAAACTAAGTATGTTCGAAATTAATCAGGTAAATCACTTTGAACAGTTAAAGATAGATTAAAGGGGCGAGGCATGGTGGCTCATGCCTGTAATCCCAGCACTTTTGGAGGCCAAGATGAACAGACTGCTTGAGCTCAGGAGTTCAAGACGAGTCTGGGCAACATAGTGAGACCCTGTCTTTACAAAAAATACAAAAATTAGCCAGGCATAGTGGTAGGTGTCTGTTATCCTTGCTGCTCAAGAGGCCGAGGTCAGAGAATCACTTAAGCTCAGGAGGTTGAGGCTGCAGTGAGCTGTGATGATGCGACTGCACTACATCTGGGGTGACAGAGCAAGACCCTGTCTCAGGAAGGAAAAAGGCAAAACAAAACAGAACGGGTGGGAAAAAACATCCACTGCTATGAAGTAAAACTATGATTTCACTGGAACGTCAAATGGAATTCAGATTTTAATTAACCAGGAATCCAAATATATGACTCTTTAGTTTACAAACTCTTAACTATGAAATATGGTTTACCAGCAGTTACAGAGATGCTGCCATTATTTGCTGCCACTGTATCTTGTTTTGAACAACGTATTTTGTTTCTACATTATACAGGAGAAAATAACATAAGACAATACTGCTCTATATGATACGTGGGACCTCTGAGACTTGGGACAAAAGAGGCCGTGAATGCCAATTCCTAGTTTAAACAAAAGAAATTAAATCATGGAAGTTCTACAGGAAAATACGGGGAAACTTATTAATATTTATAATCTTCAAACGACCCTTTCTAAGCAAGACAGAAACCTAGTCATGATAAAAGATTGATACATTTGCCACAGAAAGGCTTAAAACTTCTGTGTGGGGAAAAAATTAAAACCAAAGTCAAAATATCTGACTGACAAAGGGCTAATGTCCTTAACTCACAAACAGCTTATACCAATCAGTAAAGAAAATAATAACCACCCAATAGAAAAATGGGCAAAGCACATAAATGAACAGATCTCAAAAAAAAAAAAAAAAAAAAGATGGCCAATAAACATGTAAAATGGTGTTCAAGCTCTCATACTTTAAAAAATACAAATAAAAACTGAGTTTTTATTTGAGAGATTTGTTTCACAAATCATACTGACAATCAGTAAAATTTAATGACACCCAAGGCTAGCAAGGGCGAGATGGCGTAGAGCAACATACACTGGTGCAACCTTTTGGGAAGGGGAAATCTCGCAATATTTATCGACACTTAAAATGCATATAACCTTAGGGCAGCAATTTCACTGCAACAAGTTTCCTCTATTGATATACTTGCAGAAGTAAAACAAATTACATATACACGAACTATACTGTTTTTTATAATTAGTAAAAATTTGGAAACAACATAAATATTCAGCAACAAGGAAAAGGTTACAAAAATTATCCATGGACAATGGAACGCTTTGCAACCAGTACAAATAATCAAGGACAATGTTTATGTTAATCTGAGTATTAATATCGCTGAGTATAATACTAAGCAAGAAAATCACAGTGCAAAATTATGGCTATAATGTGATCCCTTTGTGTAAATTTTTTTAATGATATGTGACAATAATGCGAACATCACATTTCAGGAAAGGTACAAAGGTAGCTGTTAGGCCTGGTTTCCTTGGGCCACATACCATATATATATATGTATTACTTTTGCTTTGAAAATGTCAGTATGGGCTAACTAGGTGATTTTCCTGTTTTCTTCTCCTTCAACAGACATGAACACATTTCAAAAACAGGTGTCCACTATGGTAACTATATATAGGAGAAAATGTAAATAACCAGCAAACCTACTAATTGGAGTAAACACTATTAACCTTTTCAGTGTATAGTTTTCCAGTCTTGTCTTTGCAGATAAATATATATTTTTTTTGGTTTTTTTTTTTTTGAGACGGAGTTTCGCTCTTGTTTCCCAGGCTGGAGTGCAATGGCGCGATCTCGGCTCACCGCAGCCTCCGCCTCCTGGGTTCAGGCAATTCTCCTGCCTCAGCCTCCTGAGTAGCTGGGATTACAGGCACGTGCCACCATGCCCAGCTAATTTTTGTATTTTTAGTAGAGACAGGGTTTCACTATGTTGACCAGGACGGTCTCGATCTCTTGACCTCGTGATCCACCCGCCTCAGCCTCCCAAAGTGCTGGGATTACAGGCTTAAGCCACCGCGCCCGGCTGCAGATAAATATATTTAAAAAAAAAACTAGGATTTTATATGGTCTTATATAAAGTTTTTGTGTTTTTTAACTTAGCATATTATTTTATAAGTAATTTCCCATAATTCTTTAATGGACAGAGAATATTACATTATATGTCTTTAATGGATAGAGAATATTACATTATATGGCTATATTGTTTTTATAACCATGGCCCTATTGAACATTTAGTGTTTTTCTCTCTAATTTTCCACTATTATGCATAATAAAATAATGTCCTAAGCCTTTTATAATACTCCTTTTCCTCAGAGGAAAAGGCATTTTCATCTTTTCTCTCTAAGGGATGTGATGGGCTTAACACAAGCTTTGTGAACCCAAGCCACTAAAAGGTTTAATCAGTGCAAAAAGTCTGGCCAGCAGCATGATACTGTAGGCTCCACAGCATGGGCCCATAACACACCTGTCCCTGCACACCACCGCCACTGAGGTGCCAACACTCCCCACTCACCTGCAGCTCCTCTTCCATTCCCCACAGCCACCAGGACACGGACCGATTTCTTTCTTCCCTCTTTCGCTGTCATACTGAAAACATTTCTTACCTAAAAGGCAAAATGTCTCAGAGATATAGCACATTAAGAAAATCTGAAGGAGTTCCCTCCTGGAGGGATGTGCCTTTCTTGCAGGCATACATGGTGAACAGGCACACACAGAGAACATCCTCCAACTCCCGAGCACAAGTAGCAGACTTTCTCTAAACAAAACCTCCTGGACTGTTTCAGGAAGCAAACAGAAACGAGACTTTCTATTCATTTCACAGGGTTATCAGAGGGTTCAACTGAGAAAACTTTTAAAGGAATCTGACATTATACATCTCGATATATCCTGTCTTAATGAATGTACCACAAGAAAGAAAAAAGTTGCTGATCAAACTTTGATACAGTTTATCACTGATTGTAAGATGTATCCCCATGTCAGAGATGTTAAAATGTGAGGAAAATAATCCTCAGAAATTATGACATGCAGTATACAGACATAACCAGCACAGGACTGGCTCTCTATGCTAAGGATTAAGATATATGATTTTTTTTGAGACAAGAGTTTCGCTCTTGTTGCCCAGGCTGGAGTGCAATGGCATGATCTCAGCTCATTGCAATCTCTGCCTCCCAAGTTCAAGCAATTCTCCTGCCTCAGCCTCCCAAGTAGCTGGGGTTACAAGCATGTGCCACCATACCTGGGTAATTTTGTATTTTTAGTAGAGACGGAGTTTCTCCATGTTGGCCAGGCTGGTCTTGAACTCCTGACCTCGTGATCCACCCACCTTAGCCTCCCATAGTGCTGCGATTACAGGTGTGAGCCACCGTGCCCGGTAGGATTAGCATATTTGGAAATATTTGGAAATACTTGCTTATTCTGAACTATAGGAAAATGTATATTTTTTTCTGTGTATTTAAAAGGCCAGGAACTATGAACTGTTAACTAAACTGCTTACACAGCAGCTGGCTCTCTGGTACATACCTCTCTCTTTCCCATAAAATGGGGTTAAAAGGAAATGGAGCTTGAATCCACCCCGATGGATCTTACAGAAAATCACCCACATATATATGAATTCTTCAAAGAGATTAACTTTCAAAAGCTCTAAGTGGGAATACCAAAGCCATAATATTGGTAAACATTTTAAATCCTACAATGCAACTCATACTGAGGTAACAATACAGATATTAGGTGAGGCTCAATCACAAACTCAATAAATGATTATTCCACATGGTATTAAACACTGAGCATTCAGTGCCAGCTCAAAGGGAAGTAGACTATTTTAGAGAATGTTCCAGAAAGTGACTATAGTTTACTTGATACAGGCTTTAGTTTCAAAGGCCTGTGAGCAACCCAGAGACCATTTCCCCATCAAAAACCAGACATGCACCACAACTTTAAGCTTTCTACCCTGCCCCAGGGCTCAACCCAACCCCAGCTTCCTGCATTGAGTGCTAGATACAGCTGGTCTATAATTCAAAAATAGACTCCCAATGCTACTTTAGTGTTAGGAAAGAGGAAATTTAAACCTAATCTCCAAATCCTGTAGTTAACAATACCACCTTACCATGAGACCTCAATTTGGTAGCACCCCCACAAAGAGTGCAGTAGTCAGAAGAGCAAGTATCAAGCAAATGAAATTAAAGTTGCATAATTTCCTTCCCCAGATCAGCTGTGTATCAGAAATAGTATGCCAAGGCATTCCCTCACAGTTCCTCTTGTCCTGTCCCTGCCCCACCCACCCCAACCTTTCCAAAGGCTTAGCCAGGTATTTCATTCTGCAAGCCTACCTCAAGTATTCTGGTATCAAAATCCTCGTATGTTTCTGCAGGAAGAAAAGAAACAGGCATACAGATGAAATGTGTGTACACAACTAACATGAAAACATTTTCAGCATGGGCACCATCACAGATCTTTTGGTCCTACTCTCAAGGTCATGCCCCAGTCACCCCTCATCACTAGAGACTGCTCCACCAGTAAGTTCATAAACTCAGACACTGATCCCACTGGCACCCTCCTCCCCATCCATCTCTATCTCATCAGCTTCTGGCCCCTCCAGACCCTGGATCCCTGCTTTCCCTTTGCTTCCCTCTGTCTTCACGGCCTCTCCCACTCAGCCAAGACACCATAGTCCATAATTTCCACCAGATCGTGAATGCCCTCAAACCCTTCACCCTTTGCTCTCTCCACACTAGCCAGACCTGCAACTCTTGGCCACTCCTGACCTGCTGGATGCTGCTAGAGAGAAATCAAAGTATTCATACACAGGGGCCACTAAAAATTCATAGACTCCAATTCCATCAAGTCTTCCCTGCTGCCAGCTGGCCTTTTTGTCCTTTCAGTTAGGTCTCCCTCCACTTACCACTGCAGCCATTTCAAAGACTATGTTTTTTGTTGTTGTTTTTTTTTAATATTTTTATCACAATTTCAATCAAACAAAAATAGAACAGCAGAACCAGCAAAAGCTTATGTATGCATTAGTCAGCTTCAACACACATCAACCCACAGCCAATCTTCTTTTCTCTAAACTCTGTTCAACTCTCACTCCACTGGCTAATTTCCCTTTTTTTTTTTTTTTTTTTGAAAAGTTAAAAATTCCTTAATTTTTTATTCCTGGTACCACTACCACAATTTACAGGGCAATATACCTGATGTAATGAAAAGAAAAAGACAAAGCTACAACAGATAAAAGACCTCAGGAATGTACATCTAACTGACACTGCATTGCATTAATCAATAGCTGCACTTTTTGCAAACTGTGGCTATGACAGTCAACAAGAAGGGTTTCCTGTTTAAGCTGCAGTAACTTTTCTGACTATGGATCATCGCTCCTTCTGTGGCAGATTTTTACAGTTCCTCTAATGCATTTGGGACGACTGTCTCAAAGTAACCTGCAGCTTTCCTGACAACTCCTCGCTCTCTCTACTGCTAAGAACTGCAGCCCTTTTCTGCTGCTTTTAGAACCTTCTGCTACCATATCCACCACTTCCACCACCAGATCCATAACCACCACCACAGGGACTGCCGGAGCTTCTTCCACCGAAACTGCCCCCTTTCATGGGTCCATAATTTGATTGCTGTTGTCCACTATAATTTCCAAAATCATGATAGTTCCCACCACCACCATAGTTACCACCTCCAAAATTTCCTCCTTCATTGTAACCATCGTATCCTCCACCACCGCCACCACATCCACCACCTTGGTTTCCATATCCTGGTCCACCACCACCATAGCCCCCTCTACTACTATAACCAGGACCACCACCATAGTTGCCACCGTCACCAAATCCATTATATCCACCATCACTTCCTCCATAACTACCTCTGCTGCCACCACCTCCACCACCATAACCTCCTCTTCCACCAAAGTTTCCACCCCAGCCAAAATTACCTCCACCACCTCCAAAGTTTCCTCCCATAAAATTGCCAGATCCACCTCCACGACCTCTCTGTGATCCAGCAGACAGCATCTCTGGTTTGGAAAGGGCCTTTTTCGCTTCACAATTATGCCCATTAATAGTATGGTATTTCTAAACAACAATTTTATCAACTGTATCATGATCATTGAAAGTTACAAAAGCAAATCCTCTCTTTTTTCCACTCTGCCTTCCGTAACTTCTATGGTTTCAATCTTGCCATACTTTTCAAAGTAGTCTCTCAAATTATACTCTTCCGTATCTTCTTTAATACCACCAACAAAAATTTTCTTCACTGTTAGATAGGCACCAGGCTTTACAGAATCCTCTCTTCTAAACAGCTCTCTTTGGTTCCACTACACGCCCATCAACCTTGTGTGGTCGAGCACACATTGCGGCATCCACCTCTTCAACATGAGAATAAGTCACAAAACCAAAGCCCCTGGAACGTTTGGTTTCGGGATCTCTCATTATCACACAATCTGTAAGTGTGCCCTATTTCTCAAAATGTTATCTTAACATCTGTAGTTTCAAAGCTCAGACCACCAATAAACGGTTTTCTCAACTGCTCTGGTTCCTTTGGATCATGGCCCTCCTCCCGCCAGCGGCAACGGCAACAGCCGGAGTTGGGCTGGGGGTGACCGGGCGGCGGTTTTACCTCCATTTTGAGACCGGACTCGCCTCTTCCAGCTCCCCACTGGCTAATTTCAAAGCCGGTTTCAGATACCCTACCTTTTCATAAATAATCTGGAGGCCATAATCATCAATGTCCCCAACTCACTCTCCGCAGATGATTCCACCTCTTCCTTACAGACCAACTGCGGCCACATCACACAACATCCCCCCCTACCTACAACCCCACAGGCTCACCTGATTCTCTGCCCTGCCCTTCCTCCTGTGAACAAGTGAAGCCATTTCTCTAGACTCTGGATCTGGGCCACTGTGAGGGACTTGGTTCACTGACTTGGTACTCTTCCCTCCATACCTTCCTCCTCCTGACTGAAGCATTTTGATCAGTTCTAAGCACGTTCCTTGGAATCTCTCCATTTCAACCTCTCCCCTCCTCTTTATGCCAAAGTTCTTAAGAAAGCAGTCAAACTCTCAGCTATTTCCTCTTCTCTCATTCATCAGTAAGAACAGGCTTCTTGGATGATTTTTACTGGTTTACACACTCAAAGAGGTTTTCAAATTTGGCCTAAGTATTTTCAATATCTGCTTCATGCATTCTTTTACAGGATCAATGACAACTATCTGCTTTGCTGACTTCTAGTAGGGAAATAGTATTCCCAGGCCATGCTGCTCCACAGGTGCCCCTGTGGCCAACAGTTTTTGGGAAACACTGTATCCTACAGGCAGCTCCTGCAGGTCTACAGTGCACATCCCCACATTTAAGGATCTGAGAAGGTACACAATAAACACCAGGAACCCAGTGCTTTCTACCCTGTTAGTAGAATACTTCTGCATTCCACAAAATACAGTTGGGACATTAATATATGTTATTGCGAAGATCAGGCATCCCCAAACTACGGCCCGCGGGCTGCATGTGGCCCCCTGAGGCCATTTATCCAGCCCCCCCGCCGCACTTCAGGAAGGGGCACCTCTTTCATTGGTGGTCAGTGAGAGGAGCACAGTATGTGGCGGCCCTCCAACGGTCTGAGGGACAGTGAACTGGCCCCGTGTAAAAAGTTTGGGGACACCTGGCAAAGATGCTCAAATCTTTTTTGGAAAAAGGCAATATAAAGACAAGTAATAATACCATTTCAAGGAAATTTTAAAATACAAGTACTCTCTCTGTCACAAAGGCAAACAAAACCAGGAGTCTGCTACCTCCATTAGGACCAGGGTCAGGGGGTCCAAGACTGAGGCCTCCCCATGACCTTCCACTCCATCCTCGCTCCCGTTTAACCTTCATCTTCCTCCTTCGGTCCCACTCTTCTCTCTGCTGGATCATGTCCGCCTCCACCTTCTCCTGTTCTTCCTTGCTTCTTTGGGCAATGGTCTGCACTGCTCCATTTTTCATAAGAGGAACATTCAGACCAGGCCACAGAAAACCATGATGCCCTGAAGGTTTAAAAATATTATAAATAAAAAATTTTTTTAAGTACCCATTTTCCAAGTGTTAAAAAGTCAGTTAATCCACGTACAGATAATGATGACACTGTTCACTGGACCTTAAGCTAACATATTACCTTGGTAGGCCACTTGGCACAATCAAAATTTTAAATGTACTTCATGCTATTACCTAAAGAAACACTCACATACAGGTACAAAGCATATGAATGCTTGAACAAGGATGTCCACTGATATATTATTTGTAAAAGCAAGAAATGCATGTAGTCCAAATGTCCAGCAATCATGGACTGGTTAAATGAACCACAGCATCTCCAACATATGAAACATTCTGCACTAAATCAAAAGAACGAGGTAGCTCTCTAGGTTCTGATGTGGAATGATTTCCAAGACCTATTATTGAATGAAAAAAGTAAACTGTCAGACAACAAGTACCATGTGACATAATCTAAATTATTTTTGTAAAGAAGATATCTATTTCTTTTTAGGTATTTATCCATAAATTTAATACATAATACCTTTAGTAATACCTTTTTAGGTATTCATGTATTAAAAAACTGAAGGAAACACACCAATATGAGGCCAGTGGTTTCCTTGAGGGAGAGAGGACCAAAGAAGGTAGAAGAAGCATCCAGGGGGACTTTAGGTTTCTTTATAATCTTTACATTTTTTACTGAGAAAGTATACATACATGATTTTTATAATTTTAAAAAACAAGTGTTAAAAAATAAGATATAAGGAAAGAAATAAAGAAAAACATCCGAGTAGACATGTGATGCTGGAAGTGTGGTACCAGGTGTTTTCTTTATTCCTGAAAGGTCCATTACTATCAAAGATGGTTTGTCAGTAAGCACAATACAAGACGGGCTGATTGAAGTACACTACATTATTTTTACTCTTCCAAAACCATGAGTATAAACAATCGTGTGATCTAGGTGTCAACAAACTAAGGACCACAGGCCAACTGAGCCCACCACCTGTTTTGTAAATGAAGTTTTACTGGAACATAGTGATGCCTATTCCACTGTGTGTTGTCTGTGGCTGTTTGTTGAAAAATTGGATGCTTTACAGACATAAAGCATTTAGAACTATTAAAAACCTAAAACATTTCTACAACAGCAGAGTTGAGCAGCTGCAAAACAGACTATGTAACTCACAAAGCCAAAAATATTTACTATCTTCCCTTTCCAGGGAATATTTGCCAACTCTCCATTTATTCTCTCTTTTACCACTAATCATAACCTCTTTGAGGGCACACACTGTTATAGGAGATGACACACAGAGATATGTAATGCTTGCTGAATGAATAAATCCATTTCCTATGGGATTTTCCTCACCCAGAATCCTGGAAATGCGTAGTAAGTCATCTAGTTGAATTCTAAAACCACAGATTCTAGTGCCCTTCATGAGAAATGTTTTGATGCTTCTCGTTTGTAAAGTATCTTTAAAATCTGGGGTAAAAAACTTTAAAAAGCACTTTAGTTGTTTTTATAAATAAGTTTACCTTCACCAATGATCTGACCCCTGTTCAAATCCTTTCTTTTCTTCTTTTTAGTTCTTTTGCCTCTTCCTTTTCTTGTTCCAGCACCAGTCTCTGCTAAAGCACCTTTCCACAGCTCACTTGCAGTCACTGTAATGAAACAGGGCTTTTTTTGTTTGTTTGTTTGTTTAAATTCTGTAGTTTTCAAGCAATGGTCTATGTTCTCCTATTGAATAAGGAAAGTAGAGGTCAGCTTATAGCTTTACCCATGCATCACTGAGGTAATGAAAGCAAAATTAAATCATTCTTTGCACATATCAGACGGTTACATTTGGAAAGCCCAAGAAGAGACAATTCTATTACTTTCCTCCACAAAACTCTCACTATTTGATTTTCCCCTCTAACTGCTTAAAAGCCGGCATTTAAATCTCAGTTTACTTACCAGTAAGTTTTTTTACCTAATATTTTATCAACCATGATGTAGGCATCCTCTCTGTCCTCTTGCCTCCTTTATAAGCAGTAAAATAACTAATAACTATCCTTCCTCAGTATAAGTTTCCTAGTCCAAACAAGAATCAACATTTCAATCTGAACCCATAAATCTGGACCACAATCTATAGTCATAAAATCAACTGTTGACCAGACACATTCCTATAATCCCAGAACTGTGGGATGCTGAGGCAGGAGGGTCACTTGAGCCCAGAGTTTGAGTCCAGACTGGACAACATAGTGAGACACCATCTCTACTAAAAATTCAAATATCAGCCAGGTGTGGTGGCATGTGCCCATGGTCCCAGCTGCTTGAGAAGCTGAGGTGGGAGGGTCGCTTGACCCCAGGAATTTGAGATTACTATAATTATGCCACTGTTCTCCAGCCTTGGAGACAGAGCAAGACTCTGTCTCAAAAAAAAAAAAGAAAGAAAGAAAAAGAGAAAAGATAACAAGTCATTAGTCAACCTTTGAATACCATTATGCTATTAAAAATGTTTTTAATCCTTTTTCAAATTATAAAAGTTATTTTTTTTAAATCTGGAAAATATAGAATGTAATAATCATAATCCCATTACCACTGTTAGATAAGACTGTACATTCTGTCTTTTTTTTCTTTATACATGTATGCATAGTATATATTGGTTTGTTAGTCTTTTCCTATATTCTTAAATATTATTCATGATCATAATGTTCTGTAATGGCTGTAAGGGGAATTAAGTTCTTTTAATAGAGATTTTACTATTTTTACAACAGGTCTAAGATTCTAAATAACCTAAAAGGCTAGTTAGAATACATCTACTATCATTTCAATCCTGTCATTTTCTGGAAGGGTGAAGCTAGGTTAATATATACACCTGTTAACTATCATAGTCATAAAAAATAAAGTTCATGTTTTATATATACACACATATACATAAATCCACTGTAGTATCTAATTTTATATACTGAGTTACTTCTCTCTTAATCATGCTAAGTAACACATCTTGCTAATTTGAATCAAAGGGATTTAAGCAATGGATCCTCTACAGAAAAGAGACAGGTTTGCAAGTACAAGGTTCAGTATTCATAGGAAATCTTAACAAGTTTTGAAAAAGTGTGTCCCATTTCCTGGAGATTCAGAAAATCAAAGACTATTTCCTACTGAAACAGCAAAAACTAGCCCCACACTAGTTTCAACTGAGTTGGCCTCACTGGAGTGAATCTTACTATTACTTGGAGCCATAAACCCACAAAAGTACTGAGTCTTGTAACTGAGGAAGAACACAGGTAAATGAAGAGAGTCCGAGGCAGGGGTAGAACAACCATGAAGGATGAGGTCTTGGAGGGTAAGGCCACCTCTAGAACAAGGCTTTTTAAAATGAAAAAAGGCTATTAAAAAATAAAAATTCCCAAGGCTTGTAAATCTGATATACCCACTAAAGTACTAAGTCAACTCTGAGAAAAAACTGGGGCTATGGATACCAAGGGGAGAGACTAACAGCCCCAACTCTACCCATCTCTCTTTTCTCTGTACTGAAATCTGCAGCTTCAGCTAAGCCTATGTTGCTTCATCCCCCACCAAGACTTTTCTGTGTTGTTGCTATACAAATGACCTAGCTATCAGGAGATTTCCAAATTAAATCAAGCTGTATCTATACAATGAAATATTCTATGGTCATATGACTGCACTGCAGAAATCCATTGAAAAATGTAATGTATCACTACATGAAAAAAAGCAGCAAACTAGTATTTCAGGGTAGTAGGAATACAGGTGACTGTCTCTTTTTTTTTTCCTGCATTTACCAAATATTCTAAACTAATAATGAACTGCCTTTGTAATATTAATTTATTTTTTAACCTGCCTAATGCCGAGTTGTGAATTCAATCTCCGTTTATTTATTTATTTATTTAGGAGACAGAGTTTCCCTCTTGTTGCTCAGGCTGGAATGCAATGGCGTGATCATCTTAGCCTCCCGAGCATCTGGGACTACAGACACGTGCCAACATGCCCAGCTAATTTTTGTATTTTTAGTAGAGACAGGGTTTCACTAAATTGGTCAGGCCGGTCTTGAACTCCTGAGCTCATGATCCACCTGCCTCGGCCTCCCAAAGTGCTGGGATTACAGGCATTAGCCACTGCGCCTGGCCTTCAACCTCCATTTATTACCTGACAAGCTGGTCTCAGTTCAGATTAGACTCTTTCAAATGCTATCACAAATAAGAGTAGTGTAATGAATAAATCTCCTTAAAACTAACTTTTCCCAATTAGATGTCCTGTCTCCTCAAGTAAGGCACAAATGAAAACATGAATATATTCTTGGTGTGAATCTAAGTCAGCAAGGGATATTGGCCATGATTCAGTATTCTTCAGGCCTCAGGTGCCCCAAATGAGGGGACTAAAGCAAACTGGAACTCCCCAAAATACAAGTGGTAGCATGTAAGATAATTCTAGGAGGTACATCAAGGAATATTTTCATTTTAACATTACATTCTAATTACTAAAATCTTAATTCATGTAAAAAAGAGGAAAAATTCAGATACAAGAAATCCTTTTACTGTTTCAAGAAACAGCAAGTTTGTGGCCACTCTACATACATTTAGTGAAGAAACTATATGGTCTATACTGCTGGCCCATCAGGTGACTGGAAGAAGAAACACAGCATTGTGTCTGCAGCGCACGGCTCAAGCTGGCGTAAGGATGGGTGTCTCTGGTTCCCAGTGATGACAAAGGGCCTGTAGGCAGATGGGTTAAACTTTGAATTAGATGCTTCATGGCTGTGGAAAAACACTGCTAGCATCAAATAATCATTACTAACAAAAGTAAGTCACCAAAATCCTGAACTTCGAAGAATCAGATTTTTAGGACAGTCTTTCTTTTAAAAATGAAACAAAACAAAACTTTTGACCAATAACAACCTAAATGCCCATCCTAACTGGGAAAGTTACAGTTCATCCACACAATGGGCGCAATGTGTAAAGAAAGATTTGTCCGTACCAGGGTTTCTGCACTGCATTCAATAACCTAGGTGAGCAGTCTACTCAGGGCAATTGGCGCCCTCTGCTGTATGCAGCCAGCAACATACTGCGGTGGAAAGACCTGCAACTGGCCTGGTCAGAAGAGCAAGGCGCAGGAGAGCATGTACACTATCCTACCCGCGTCCTGCCAAAAAACAAGGAGCGGCCATGAATGCACTTCATAGACTAACCCAGAAGTATGCAGGAACCTGGAAACAACAGTTGCCTCTGGGGAAGAAATATGATACATTTAAAACTGGATATGAGGGACTTGCTGTTTTTGTATTTTTTGGAATTGTTATCACCAAATGCACATATTACTTAAAAAGTTTTTAAACATCTATGTGTTACCGGCAACATCTAATCAATTCATGGAGGGTAAAGTCCTGTGAAGGAAGAGGGGAGGGTGAGAATTGGTAGATGTGAAGAAACGGGAACACTGCTAACACATAAGGGTGCACACACCCTTAAGCTCTGCATTTCAATAAAGACACTAGTGACTACAAGAGAAGTGATAAAGAAAATTAGAACAGCCCTAGAGAAAAGAAAACAAAGTTATTTAAGGGCATGGGCTTGAAAAATAGAAAACCAAACAGTGACAACACCTATTTTCAAGTCTACATGAAGTGACGAAGAAGATGGTAACAGCTGTTTTATGGCCACAGAGGGCCACACACCAGCAATGATCTTACATGGCAATAACAAGCAGTATTAAATGGTTACAGTAAGCTATCAAAATGTCTCCATTGCATATCGACACTGAAAAATAAAGGAACAATCTCCTTTTAATTAAATTAGATATCTTTCAATGATTTTAGATATCTTTAAAATCATTTAAATATCAAAATTTAATTAAAAGGTTATTCCTCTCTTAATTAATTTAAATGATCTAACTAAACTAGATTATTTAATCCAACCCCTACATTTCACAAAATAAACTTAAGTCTATGAGGTTAGGGAGTTGCTGAAAGTCACAAGACTAGTTAGTAGGTGGGATTTAAACATTAATTCCAATTTCCGATGACTTACTAAACTGCACAGAGGCAGACAGATGACATCCTGAGGTCCCTCTGGACCTATTAGCTCACTTAATGAATTAGTAAATAAAAAATAGATGGGAAATGAACTGGCTTTTCATTTTTAAACTCAGGACTTCATCATTCCAAATCCCATGATGCAGCATACACTTTAGTTTTAGGTTTCCTTATATGCTCTTTTTCCTTCTTCTTTTTCTTTTTTTTTTTTTTTGGCAATGGAGTTCTGCTCTTGTCACTCAGGCTGGAGTGAGTGCAATGGCCGTGATCTCGGCTCACTACAACCTTCACCTCCCAGGTTCAAGTGATTCTTCTGCCTCAGCCTCCTGAGTAGCTGGGATTACAGGCACCACCACCATACCCAGCTAATTTTCATATTTTTAGTAGAGACAGGGTTTCACCATGTTGGCCAAGCTGGTCTTGAACTCCTGACCTCATGTGATCTGCCTGCTTCGGCCTCCCAAAGTGCTGAGATTACAGGCGTGAGCCACCACACCTGGCCAACTCTTTAGTTTTCAACAAAATATCTTACTTAATACTAGGTTACTTACCTTAACATTAAAGAAGATATTTAATCTTGTACTGTTTAGTACTGCAATCTCGATATACTTCAAAGAGTGTAAAATTGTTACTAACAAATTTAGAATTCTTTAACCTTTTTTGAAAGCCTGAAATATTTCTCCTATCTAATAATGTACCTAAAAACGTCCAATTGTCAAAAGCAGAAAGAAATTGACTTTAGAGTTGAGAAACAGTCACTCATAATACACTGTTACAACCAACTTTGTTTAAAATGTGTTGTAATTTTTGAAAACAGGGGATGTCATCAGCTTATGCTAAATCACTGTTATAGATTATCCGTCAATGATCAATTATCAGTTTTGCTTTCATTCTCTGAATTATTATTAATTTCAGTCCATGAACTCCCCGTCTCAGGAAACAGTTGCCCTGGAGTCCAAAATGCGCCAAGCCCAAAAAGCATCCTCGTGTGGGTCAAGTCAAAGACCCACAGAGTCCTTTGGGAGGCCAAGGTGGGTAGATCACTTGAGGTCAGGAGTTCGAGACCATCCTGGGCCAACATAGTGAAACCCTGTTTCTACCAAAAATAGAAAAATTATCTGGGCGTGGTGGTACATGCCTGTAATCGCAGCACTTCAGGAGGCCAAGGCGGGCAGATCACTTGAGGTCAGTTCTAACCATCCTAGCCAACATGGTAAAATCCTGTCTCTACTGAAAATACAAAAATTAGCCATGCACAGGTGGCACATGCCTGTAATCCCAGCCTACTCAGGAGGCTGAGGCAGAAGAATCACTTGAACCCCAGAGACAGAGGTTACAGTGAACCGAGATCATGCCATTGCACTCCAGCCTGGGCAACAGAGCAAGATTCTCAAAAACAAATACCACACAGAGTCTGATCTCGAGGGTTTTCTATTTCAGCATTTACAGTTTTCATCCATGATGAACTTCTTCCTCCTAATTTAAATCTCATCTATTACATCAAACCAGCTGATCAATGATGTGTTTGAGAGATTTTAGAAAACTATTGCTATTTGTATGATCCATCTATTGAAGCACTTACAAAAATACAGTAATCGGTACTAAAGAAACTGTTATAGGAAAAAGAAAATGTAATGATAGAATTCTACCTAACTCAGCTATAAGTATACACAAACTTAATAATAAAAACACTGATCAGAGATCAATCAAAAGTGTGCTTATAACTATGTTGGAGAAAGCAGGGAAAATGAAGAGTTAAATTCTCAATTGACATAACAATGTTGATAAAGAATATCTACAACATAATTGATAAATATAAGCAGAAAAAACTGAAATAATTTAAAAGTGTCACTGGCAATGAGAAGGAGTAGGAAAGAGATTGGTTTTAAAATATAATCCTTTTAATACCTTTTTGTAAGTTCAACATTTTAAGAAATAATACAACAGTTCAAAGTAGAAATTACTATCCCTATTTTATGGATGAGGAAACCAGGGCTCCCAGGGTCACATTTGCACCTGGCTGCAAAGATAGGAAGTGGTGGAGCAGAGAATTCTGCTTTCACTCCAACAGTCAGGCTCTTCCCCACCCAGGGCCTTGCCAGGGGCTGTCCCCATGGCCGTAAACGCTCTGCTCTACTTTCCTCACAGAAGCCCTCTCTAGGCCCACATTAGCTCAGGCCGGGGACCCTGCCTGGCTCACAGTAATAGAGGAAGCATCTTGTGAGTGAGTGAGTGAGTGAGTGAGTGAGTGAGTGAGTGAATCAGTCAATCAATCAATCAACCAACAAGTGAACAGACAAAGCGAAGAGCCCAGGTCTGCTAAGCCCCTCTCCAGGACCTCTCAGCGGAGGTATAAAGGCATCTCACAGGTGAAGTTAACAAGAGGAAAGGGAACAAGAGTAAAAGCCAAGCCCAGCAACTGAGAGTTCCCAGAACTCATGGGGACAATAATATTTCAATTCTGTCCTAACTATAGTCCATGTAAAAAAAGCAGTATTTAACAGATCTCAAGTACAATGGGCTCAGCATGGGTTGGCTTCCTTCCTTCCTAGAGAGTGAATGAAGAGAGGGCCCTGTCCTATGGCAGTGAAAGGCAGTGAAGGGCTGGTGCTACAGTATGAAAAAGCATCACAGTCTCTAGACAGCTCAGGTCCCAATCCTGCCAGGTACTGGCTGTGTGTTCCTAACAAGTCACTTAGCCTCTCAGAGACTCACTTCATTGTCTATAAAACAGGAACCATTAACTCCCTCATAAAAACTGGTGTGAGGATTAATCAAGATAATAGCTCTAAGTCTAATACACAGAAACAACCCAGTAATTATTATTTAGTTATTATTTTTTAAAGTGTGGAATCATAACAACTGCAATCATTAAGAAATCTGAAAATACTCTTCAGATCCTATGCATTTCTATCATAAAGAATGTGATTATTGCAGTAAGACTAACCAGGCTAAAAAATGAAAAAAGAAGAGAGAAGGGAAAAAAGCAGGTGATTATTTACATTTTTAAACTATAGAAACTACTCCGACATTACATCTTATGAGAAAAGGTAGCAGTATTAATGAATCTCACCATTGCTGAGAGCAGTCTTCCATGCCAAAATGGAAGCTGTTGGTAAGGTGTTTAGGGAAAGCTGTCTCCCCAACAAATGACCTGCAAATTAAAAAAAAAAAAAAAAAAAAAATGAAGATACATTTCTACATGAAAAGGAACATTTTAAACAGTAATACCCACGAAAGTATATCTATAGAATAAAGAACCAAGACAAGGGAAGAAGTAATTTCTGGGCTCCAGGACAACTTGTCAAGTAGCTGACATCGTACTTCATCTTCTCCCTTCACCCTCACATCCAACTAGTTACCAAGCCCTTCAGTTTCCTCAAAAATCAATCCACCTGTCAGTTGTACCTTTTCCTGTGGCCTCAATGACTCTTATTTGCTCAAGTTTCATCATCACTCAGCCACAGAGTAACAACAGTTTCCTAGTAGGTTTCCTAATTTCAATTTCTCCCCCTCTGCTTCATGGCTTTTCTAAAACAACAGGTCTGTCACTTCACAGCTCTGATAGATTATTCTCTGGTTCCCTACTACCTTCAGAACAAAGTCAAAACTCCTCAGCATAGCCTACAGGCCTGCCACATGGCCCTAAGCTTCCACACCAGGCTGCTGCCCCACCTCTCTCTCCTCCATCCTCCCTCTGGCCATGCCAGACATATAGTCAGTTGTGAACCCACTGTGCTCTTGCATACTTCTGTGTCTCTGCAAGGTTCTCTGTCTGAAACATCACCTCTCAGTGAAGGCTCCCTGATTCTGCAGTGTTCCCACCTCCCTCTGGAACCCCCACAGCACCAGGCTGACTGTACTGTAGGCCCCCTCACACACTGTGGTACTCCAGAACAGGCTCCGACAAAGCATTTATGGCAAGTGATTTTTGACAAAAGTGTCAAGACCATTCAATGAGGGAAGAATCATGTTTTCAAGAAGTGGTGCTGGGACAACTGGATATCAACATATAAAAGAATGAAGCTGGCACCCTGCCTCACATGATATACAAAAATTAATTCAGGCCAGGCGCAGTGGCTCAGGCCGGTAATCCCAACACTTTGGGAGGCTGAGGTGGGTGGATCACAAGGTCAAGATATCAAGACCATTCTGGCCAACACAGTGAAACTGTCTCTACTAAAAACACAAAAAATTAGCAGGGTGTGGTGGCACATGCCTGCAGTCCCAACTACTCAGGAGGCTGAGGCAGGAGGATCGCTTGAACCTGGGAGGCAGAGGTTGCAGTGAGCTGAGACTGCACCACTGCACTCCGGCTTGGCAACAGAGCGAGACCCTGTCTCACCAAAAAAAAAAAAAAAAAAAAAAAGAAAGAAAGAAAAAGAAAAGAAAATTAATTCAAAATCAAAAAAAAAAAATAATTCAAAATGGGCCAAAGACTTATAGGTAAGAGCTAAAATGATGAAACTTTTAGAAGAAAACATAGGGGTAAATCATCATGAACCTTGCTGGGCACGGTGGCTCAAGCCTGTAATCCCAGCACTTTGGGAGGCCGAGGCGGGTGGATCACGAGGTCGAGAGATCGAGACCATCCTGGTCAACCTGGTAAAACCCCGTCTCTACTATAAATACAAAATATTAGCTGGGCATGGTGGCACGTGCCTGTAATCCCAGCTACTCAGGAGGCTGAGGCAGGAGAATTGCCTGAACCCAGGAGGCGGAGGTTGCGGTGAGCCAAGATCGCGCCATTGCCTCCAGCCTGGGTAACAAGAGCGAAACTCGGTCTCAAAAAAAAAAAAAAAAAAAAATCATCATGACCCTGGATTTTGCAATGGCTTCTTAGATGAGACACCTAAAGCACAACAACAAAAAGAAAAAAATAGATCGGTGAGACTTCACTAAAATTTAAAACTTGTGGCTTCAAAAATACTATCAAGAAAGGGAATAGACAACACACAGAATGGGACAAAAATTTTGCAAATCATCTATCTGATATAAGGATCTTATACCTAGAATATATAAAGAACACCTACAATTCAACAATAAAAAGACAACCCAATTTAAAAGTGGGCAAAATATTTGAATAGATATTTCTCCAAAAACCATACACAAATGGCCATTAACACATAATAATATGCTTCTTATTCATGAGGGAAATGCAAATCAAAACCACAAACTGATACCCCTTCCCATCCACTGGGCTGGCCAGGTACAGAGGCTCATGCCTGTATCTCAGCACTTTGAGAGACCAAGGCAGGAGGACTGCTCAAGCCCAGGAGTTCAAAACCAGCCTGGTCAACATTGTGAGATCCTGTCTCTACAAAATTTTTTTTGAATTAGCCAGGTGTGATGGCACACACCTGTAGTCCCAACTACTCAGAAGTGGGAGGGGTTACCTGAGCCCAGAAGGTCGAGGCTGCAGTGAACTGTGACTGTGCCACTGCATTTCTACCTTGGCAATGGGGTGAGACCCTGTATTTAAAAAAAAAAAAAAAAAAAAAACACATCCACTAGGATGGCTATAGTCAAAAAGACAGATATTAAGTGCTGGCAAGAATGTGGAAAAACTGGAAGCCTCATATCACTGCTAGGAATGTAAAATGGTACAGCTGCTTTGGAAAACAGTTTGGCAGTCCCTTGACACCTAAACATAGGTCTTGGCACAGTGGCTCACCCTATAATGCCAGCACTTTGGGAGGCCAAAACAGGAGAACTGCCTGAGCTCAAGAGTTAAAGACCAGCCTTGACAACATAATGAGACCCACTATCTACAAAAAGTAACGAAAAACTAGCTAGGCATGGTGGCATGCACCTGTAGTCCCAACTACTCAGGAGGCTGAGGTGGGAAGATCGCTTGAGCCCGTTAGACGGAGGCTGCAGTGAGCCGTAGTGAGTGTAGTGATCGTGCCACTACACTCCAGCCTGGGCAACAGAAGGTGGGAATGAAAGAAACATTAAATATAGAGTTTCCATAGGAGCCAGCAATTACAATCCTAAGTATATACCCAAGAGAAATAAAAACACACTTACAAAAACATTGCACACAAGCGTTTCTAGCAAAATAGACCTAAGAGCCAAAAGGTGGAAACAAACCAAATGTTCGACTGATAAGGAGATAAACAAAATATGGTATTCATACAATAGAATATTATTCATCCATAAAGGATGAAGTACTGGTATATGCTACAAAGACTGAACCTTTACAACATTATGCTAAATGAAAGAAGCCAGTCACAAAAGACCACATATTACATGATTCTACGTATACAAAATGTCCAGAACAGGCAGGTTACAGAAAGAGAGGGAAAGTACATCAGTGGTTGTGCTGGAGGCCGATGGGAAGATGGGGAGTGACAGCTAAAGGTACATGTTTTCTCTTTGGAGTGATGTTGGCTGCACCGCTCTGGTGATACATTAAAAATCATTGAAACATCACTTTAAATGGATTAATTGTATGGTATGTGAATTATATCTCAACAAGGAGGCTATTACCAAAAACAAAAAACAGGCTTTGGAGTCAGGTGGTATGAGTGCCAAATCTGATGTCCACCTAGCCTAACCTTAAGCAGGTTTCTGAATCTGCATGCCTTAACGCCCTCATCTGTAAAATGGGAGTAACAGTCTCTATCTCACGAAGGCATTGTGAAGATAAAGTGAGGAAAATGAAGGAAAGCTACAACAGCTAGGAGCTATTTGAACAGGGCCTTGAAAAAGGAGGAGATGGCGACAACATGGACAAAAGAACGTTCTAGTCAGACTTTCTGCCAAATGACTGCAAAGATTGCAGCTTAATTAGTTTTAAAAACACATATTCAGGTTTTAGGGGTCTTCAGATTTCGAAACTACAAACGCTGGATTGTGGACCTCCAGTAAAATTGAGCAAACAAGGCCGGGCACGGTGACTCCTGCCCGTAATCCCAGCACTCTGGGAGGCCGAGGTGAGCAGATCAAGAGGTCAAGAGATTGAGACCATCCTGGTCAACACGGTGAAATCCCGTCTCTGCTCAAAAACAGAAAAATTAGCTAGGCGTGGTGGCACGCGCCCTGCAGTCCCAGCTACTCGGGAAGCTGAGGCAGGAGAATTGCTTGGGCTCGGGCGGCGCAGGTTGCACTGAGCCGAGATCGCGCCACGGCCCTCCAGCCTTGCGCCTGGCGACAAAGCGAGACTGTCTCGAAAAAAACAAAAACAAAAACAAAAAAAAAAAAACTGAGCAAACAGAAAATGCAAGTCTATCACTGAGCGTAATGCTGGAGGGCAAGCCCACCCCGACATTACCAAATGAAACCGGGGGTCGCGCGCACCCCAAAGGCGATACCGGCCAGTTCCCGCTCCTCTTCGCCCAGCACGATCAAGCGGTTTTGCGAAGGAAAGAACCCCGGAGAACGACGTCCAGTTCCCCCTCATTTTACAGACAAGAGCTCCGCGACCCAGAGAGGGAGAGGACGCGGGCAAGGTCACACAGCGGGTCTGCATAAGGTGGGAGCATGGCGTGAAGAACCGGGCCGCGGCTTCTCGCTTCCCTCCGCCCAGGCTTCTGCAGGCCCCAGGCGAACCCCCAGCTCCCGGCCCGCTCAGAGCCCCTGCTCCCGGGCGTCCCAGCTCTCACCCGCCGTCTCGGTGCATAGCGCAGGGAGGCAGCCCACAGCGCGCACCGCCGTCGCCATGCTGGAGCCCGAGCCACGACTCGGCCTGCGCCCAGGGCAGCCTTGCCCACCGCCTACCGCGACTGCTCCTCATCAAACGGTGGGCCTCGGCCCGCAGCTGAATTCCCAAAGCCTGAGTCTACACCGCAGCGCAGGCCGGGGTCGGGGACTGTCAGGACCCGCTGCACTGCAGGTGGAGCCTGGCGCGGCCGCGGACAGCCCCGCGGGGGCCTCCCGTTAGGACCCGAAGGCGGGGCTTGGACCAGCGGCCTGGCGTGGGCGGGCTAAGCTAGCGCCCGAAAGAGGGCGCAAGCGGCTCTAGGTGAATTTGGCTGCTCTTTCAGGGGCTCCGGAGAGGTCCGCTGGCGGGGGACCGTGGGCTTACCCGAACAGGCACTGCGGACCCCGGCGATGTTCATAGGAGCACGGAAAGGGAGGGTCCGAGCGCAATGAGGATCCAAGGGATGAATACGGAGAGGAGTGTAGAGAAAGTGCTCATTCCCAACTCTAGTAAAGGTTTGAGTTTCATTAGATTAAGCACTTAAATGACCTGCAGATCAGCGCACTTGTGGATTCAAACGGATTCTAACGTTTGGTCGCACATGCATATCTCAGCCCTGGGCCATGTTTTTTGTTTGTTTGTTTGTTTTTGTTTTTGTTTTTGTTTTTTAATTGCTTCTATACCATCTACGCCTACCCGAGTGACCCAGACACCTGCAACACAGAAGGAAGGGCACAATGTCTTGTAAGAGGGTAGCCTGCTCAGACCAGCGTCTGGTTTTCAAGTCCAGCATAAAAATTTTCAAACATACAGAAGAGTGAAAATACTGACAAGCTAGAGTTAAAAATTATCAAGAGGAACACAGTTGTTTCCTCTATTCTTTTCCCATTTTCTCTGCTAAAATAGTCAATTTATTTCACTCCAGGCTATTCTGATGCACACCTATTTTCAAAAGACCTTTTACATCTTGAGTTGGTCAAATTAAGAGAAAAAGAGATTGATTACACCCATGTGTAAAGCCAACTGCTTCAGGATAACTGGGAACATGGTAAGACTAGCTAATTCCATGAGCAAGGACCTACTGCCACGCTTCATTTGCTGTGGAGTGAGTTCCTAAGACAGAGGCAATAGTGTGTAAAATAATAAAGTATTAAGTCCAAGGTTAGTTGTTTTGGCAGAAGCACTGTGGGCAGGAACGGCAAATCCATAACCTAAGTGTCTATTCCAGTGAGAAAAAAGTGCTGCCCTTTCCATGGTCCAATGTAATTAACTTAAAACCAGATAGCTGGCTAAGACCCCAGGAGTGGTGCCATATCAGGAGCTGTAGTTAGATTGTCCCTGGCAAGTGAAAGTCCATGTTGACCCCATGTGTAACCTCCATACCTAGCCCTTTATTCACGAGTCCATTTGTCTGGATAAGGAGGCTGACTGACATCCACAGAATGAGTTATTCTATCCATCTCATTAAAATCCTCTGTGGAGGTCACCCTTTGATAAGCACTTATGTGGGAAATAATTATCTTCACATTTTGGGCCGAAATCCATTCACATACCTGTTCCCTAGACCTCCTTGTCACCTCCTTGTCACCAATTATGTTCCTTTCAAGTACTGACCATCCAGCCATTAGCCACTGCTCATGAAAAAGTATGGATCTATACTTCTAACTGGGTAAAATGAACAACCAGGTACACTACTCTTACTTCTTCCCACTGGGAGGCTTTCCCATCACTGCCATCCTTCAGAGCCATCCCAGAGTGGAATTGCAGCACTGCAGTTATCCATGTTCAGGTGATACCTGCAGATCATGCAGAACCATGTGTAAACCAAGTCCAGGAGTTTTCTTCTTCAGGCAGCTGGTCATAGGTAATTCCTAATGAAGCTGTGGGTAGGGGTTGAGAGAAGATAATGTAGCAATAGTAGGGGCCATGGACATGGGGAAGACACACAATTGCTTGCACATTTAGAACCTGCTCCAGTTCAATTTTATATGTACCACTTCCACTTGATGATGGAATGTTGCTGTGCACACGCAACTTTATGGCTCGGTGATCAGACAACAGCCAGTTCATGATGAGCAACTTAAATTGCATGATAAGTTGCTGGTCAATGGTCAAGCCTTCAGACTCTGTTAAGGCCCAGAGCAAATTTGGTTTTGATTGCTTATTTGTTTGTTTCTAACTTTTAAATTTGAAATAATTACAGATTCAAAGATACAGATAGGAAGTTGCAAAAACAGTACAGAGAGGTCACATGTATCCTTTACTCAGTTTTCCAAAGTAGTAACATCTTACATAATTATAGTACGACATCAAAACCAGGAAGCTGATAATAGTACAATCCATAGAGTTTATTTAGATTTTATGAGTTTTACATGCACTCGTTTGTGTGTGTGTGTGTGTGTGTGTGTTTGTGTAGTTCTGTGCAATTATGCACATGTAGATTTCTGTAACCAGCACAATTGAGATACAGAATTGTTCTATTTCCAAGACCACTTGTGCTCCTGCCTTTGAGTCAAAGCCACCCCCTCTTTTCTTCTCTCCTCCACCATCTCTAACCTTTGGCAACCACTAATATTTCTCATCTCTATAATTTTATCGTTTTTGTATTTTTTGTAGAGACAGGGTCTCCCTATGTTGCCCAGACCAGTCTAAAACCCCTGGGTTTAAGCAATCCTTCTGCCTCGGCCCCCTAACTTGCTGGGATTACAAGTGTGACCCATCACATCTGATCTGGAATTGTTTCCTTAATTTCATTTTTGGATTATTCACCACACATGTATAAAAGCGTTCGTTTTTGTATATTGATCTGGTATCCAACAACACTGCTAAACTCATTTACTCTCAAAGGTTTTTAATGGATTTCTTAGCATTTTCTATATATGAATTGAAATAGTTTTTCATGTTCAACCAACTAATTAAACATTTACAATATTCCTTTTCTTTTTTTTTTCTTTTTGAAATGGAGTCTCACTCTGTTGCCCAGGCTGGAGTGCAGTGGTATGAACTTGGCTCACTGCAACCTTTGCCTCCCAGATTCAAGTGATTCTCCTGCCTCAGCCTCCCAAGTAGCCAGGATTGCAGGCATGCACCAACATGCCTGGCTAATTTTTGTATTTTTAGTAGAAACTGGGTTTCACCATGTTGGCCAGGCTGGTCTTGAACTGCTGACCTCAGGTGATCCACCTGCCTCTGCCTTCCAAAGTGCTAGGATTTCAAGCATGAGCCACCATGCCTGGTGTACAGTACTGTATCATTCTCTCCCTGTGGCACCTCTGTTCACCACTGCAGCACTCTGAATCCTGCCATTTTCCTGCTCCTAACAGAAAAAAAAGAGCAGGGTTGGGGGGGAACCTCAAATTGTCTTACCTAACAAAAAGTTATGGAACTTTCTGCACCTCATTAAGATTCATTAGAGACTCCTGTAAGAACCATTGCCTAATATTTGTGTTGTTGTTTATGATGGATGATACCTTAAAACTGAACCTGAGGTTATTAAGCAGGATAAGCTATTACTAATTTAAGTTCTCTTTAGAATATAGTCCCCTACTTGAGGTAAAATCTTCCCAGATGGCAGAACTTATTTCACTTACCATATAGAACTCATTGGGAGATGATCCACGATGGCTGAATAGGAACAGCTCTGGAGTACAGTTCCCAGCAAGAAAGCAGAGGGTGAGTGACCACCACATTTCCAGAAGAATTTTTACTGCCCACAGACCAGGAGATTCCTGGGTGGAAAAGTGCCACAAGTCTCCAGCATGGCTGTTTCAGCCAGCACAGTGGGTCTCCACACAAAAACTCACACAAATCTGGGTGCCGTTTCAACTGGTGCCTGGAACACCTGGGAAACAGAGTCACCCATTCAACTGAAAAAAAAAAAAAAAAAAAGTGGTACTGGAACAGAAAGCCAGGTAATCTGGCTCAGCGGGCCCCACCCCCACAAAGACCAGCAATCAGAAACACTCTGGATTGAGAGTTTTGCAGCAAGCGCAGCTGGACCTGGGACAGTCCAGCTTGGTGGGGGGAAGGGTGTCTGCCATTACTGAGGCCGCCCACCACTACCAAGGCAGTCTGCCATTACTGAGGCAGTCCACCATTACCAAGACAGTCCACCATTACCAAGGCAGTCTGCCATTACCAAAGTAATCCACCATTACTGAGGCAGTCCGCCATTACAGAGACAGTCCACCATTAATGAGGCACACTACCATTACCAAGGCAGTTCTAACTATACCTCTATAAACAAAACCACAAGAAAGTTCACACAGCAGGTGGGCAGAGCCCACGGCAGCTCAGCAACACCTCTGCTGGCAGGCTGTGACTAGACTGCCTCCTCACTGGGAGGGCATCTCTGAAAAAAGGCAGCAGCATGTCAGGAACTTATAAATAAAGCCCCCCCTTCCCAGGACAGAGCACCTGAGAAAAAAAGGTGGTTATGAGTTCCAACGCAGCAGACTTAAACATACCTGCCCAGCAGCTCTGAACAGAACAACAGAGCTCACAGCTCAGCACTTGAGCTCCTATAAGGGTCAGACTGTCTCCTCAAGCAGGTCTCTGACCCCTGTATATCCAACGAGACACCTCATAAAGGACAACTCAAGCTGACATCTGGTGGGTATCCTTCTGGGACAAAGATAGCAGAAGAAGAAACTAGCAGCAACCCTTATTGTTCTGCAGCCACTGCAGGTGATCCCCAGGAAAGCAGGGTCTGGAGTGGACCTCCAGCAGTCATATAGCAGAGAGGCCTTTTAGAAGGAAAACTAAAAAACAGAAAGAAATAACTTCATCATCAACAAAAAGGACATCCACTCAGAGACCCCATCTGAAAGTCACCAACTACAAAGACCACATGTAGATAAATCCACAAAGATGGGAAGAAACCAGTGCAAAAAGGGTGAAAACACCCAAAACCAGAATGCCTCTCCTCCTACAAGGATCACAACTCCTCACCAGCAAGGGAACAAGGCTGGATGGAGAATAAGTCTGATGAATTGACAGAAACAGGCTTCAGAAAGTGGGTAAAAACGAACTTCTCTGAGCTAAAAGAACATGTTCTAAACCAATACAAAGAAACTAAGAACCTTGAAAAAAGGTTTGACGAAATGCTAATGAAAATAAACAACTTAGAGAAGAATATAAATGAATTGATGGAAACGAAAAACACAACATAGGAACTTCGTGAAGCATACACAAGTTTTAATAGCTGAATCAATCAAGCAGAACAAAGGAT